TTGGTACTGAGAAACCATAAACTTTTTTAGAATTGAAGTTACTGTTTGGTCATTTCAAAACTAGGATGACAGATCAGTGAAAAATGATAACCATTTCCAAATTCTATCATGTCTGTATCTCCTTCAATCATCTAAATAAAGTCCTCACTAAATGGTATTTTAGATTCTAAAGGGAGCTTATTTGAGTGTTTTACTTAAATGATTCTGAATGATATTACCGAAACGTGATGTCTACCTGTTCTCATCTTTTTTTTTTAAAGTTGTAAACTGTTTATCAATGGATAATCACGCACAACCTCGTATGCCACACTCAGTCTCTATAAAATCTACTTAAATAGTGGCATTTAGAGAAACTCCTTGTTAGCACTGGATAATAATGATAATAACAATAATAATATTACTACTAATAATAAATGGTAGTGAATAACTCCGTAAACATATAGCCAACTTACAATTAATTGCGATTCTTGCTTATTTATAGAATATGATGAAGCATTTTGTTCCGTGTTTAAAAGTTTTTGTTGTGTCAATGGACTAGATTCATGTGATTGGTATAATGCATTTTTATCATTCCATATCCAATACAGTGAGCCGAATAAATCATTCAGTCCTGTTGCTTGATCATTTAGTTGAGGGGTATTCAAAACTCCATCTAGATAATCAGCTTGTAATGCAGCTGGACAGATTATTGATTTATTGATATTATTATTACTGTTTGTAAGTAAAGTGGTCTGTAATCCAATGTCATGGTTGTTTGTTGGATTAAGTGATGTGAGAAGTAGGCCAGATCGAGCGAATACCCAAGCGTAGTAGGCATGAAGATCTTAGGTGGGAGGAGGAGTAAAAATAATCAACTGATTGTGAGTAATGGTGTTATTATCATAAATGTAGAAGAGTGTAGGAACATGTTTTCTGTAACCATGCGGTAACTTATTTATTTCTCATCAACTTCTCATCATTAAAAAACAACTTTCAGACAATCAAGAAAACAGTAGAGAAAATTGACGTTGTAAGTGTTACAGTCAGTTTACAGAAAAGTTTTGACTAATATTTCATGATAGATGTTGTCCATCAGGAGGGTGTTTGGGAATGATGGGCCGGCCGATGCTTTGATGTAACGAGGTTCGGACGTGATAAATAAGAACACTTTATAGGTACTTAGTCTATTTGACTCACTTCAACTGACTCACAAACAGGTATATGAGAATCAATACAATCGGGGGCAGTTTGTTATACACCTCTTACATATGCATCATTTCGACAATCTGAATGAGGACATTAAGAACATACAAATGTTTAACTAATATTAATAAAATCTAACCAATGAACGTCTATTAGCCTACCATACATCATGTTTATGGTAATATTCGAACTCATATAACCTACTATCACGATCATACAAGTTGCTGTTGGTCAATCAACTATAGACAAACTTTTTTTAGAAGTTTTGTAGAACCTAACTAAATCGAAGAAATTTGACCAGTACTAAGGACTAAAAGAAATGATATAATTTACTACATGGTGATGTCAATATAAAATAGATTGAATGATTTACGAAAGCAACAACTGAGATCAGTTGCTGATAATTCAAATCAACATCAAGATGTGATCAAAGAAGTTATTAAAGTAACTACGAAAAAGAATCTGGTCGAATAGAGATAATAAAAACTAGAAATATATACATCTTATGGAAGTAGCAAACTATTTTACTGAATCTGAAATTTTCTTGGTATTAAACATCTGAATTTCAGATTAATACATTTTACTGAGTTATTTTATTCCTATTTGATTTTTTAATTCAAGTCCCAATTTATGATTTTGAAGAACATATGAAACTCAAAACAACTGTCAACCAATATCAAAATCAGAACCTTTAATACGAACGCCAAGAAAGTTCTGCTATACGGAGCTGAAACGCGGATATCTACTACAACCATCATCAAGAAGTACACGTATTTATAAACAGTTTTCTACGCAAGATACTTAATGTCCGTTGTCCGGATACCATCAGCAACTGCCTACTATGGGAGATAACAAACTAGCTTTTAGCTGAGGAGGAAATTAGGAGAAGATGATGGAAGTGGATAGGACACATATTGAGGAAATCGTCAAGCTGCATCAGGAGTCAAGCGCTTACTTGGAATCCTGAAGGGAAACGGAAAATAGGAAGTTCAAAGAACATACTGCACAGAGAATTCGAAGCAAACATTAAAAGAGTGAATAGCAACTGAAAAGAACTGGAAAGGATTGTCTAGAACAGAATTCGACGGAAAATGCTAGTGAGCGGCCTATGCTCTTCCACGAGGGGTAATAGACGTAATTGAATAAGTAAAATGAATAATTCAACTGAATTATAAGTTGGAATATCATTTTATCTACAAATTCAACAATGATAAATGCTTTTTTGAAGTAATGTCAAACTTTATCTCTGATGATATACTATGTAGCTGTGAGTTCAAGAATCTAAATTTCTTTTCACTTAATTCAGTTACAACAATTGAATATGACTTGAAATCATGTCAACCAACTTATGTTCAGTTACTATGTAAAAGAATTGTCATTATTATTTATTAGAACATATCAACATCAATTTTTGTTTGTGTAATTGTGAATAAAATCACTAACCTTCAGTACTCAAAGAGTTTGCATCTAATTCTTGATCCGATTTCAAATTGTATATCTGAACAAACATTTTTAATCATAAAAATAAAATAAATTTTGAATTATTTTTTTTATATTTCAAGGTGTATAACTGTACTATTAATTATAATAAATTGTATCTATGGATTGAGTATATGATCTACACTCTTCAAAGTTAGATTGACGAATTCTTTCTTCTTTTTAAACATATAGGTTATAGCTAATTATGAATGTGTGTCATTCTATCTTGGCTGAATTTATCAAGTTCCCAGTGGTAATCCTTTTACTCATACCTCTCCTTTCAAATGCTAGTGAGTTATCTACTAAACTACTAAGCTTAGATAGTCACTACCATTTTCAGTATCAACAACGAGATGATACAAAAACTCACTATTTCTCTTGTTTACTGATTCATTGTTATTTTAATACAGATTATTACCAAATCCAGTGATGCATCATGCCAATTTTTGTCAAATAAACTGTCCCTCTATTCACCTTCTTAAATTATTGAACTATATCAGTGAATATTTTTGTGCGGAGACAGTAGTTTACATAACTCTTCAACACAGAACTGCAAGTGATACTTCAAAGTCCTAGTGATTATGATGAAACAAAATTATTTCCAATCAAACAATTACTAGTTAGTCATGGACACACACCAAAATTTGTCTAACGATGAAGACTAATATTTAAAGATAAAAAAGTCTTATTTTTATCATACAGTGCTGAGGTGATTATAGAGTCGAGGAGTCTCATACTAGAACGAAACAGACACCCAGTGTATCTACGTTTTCAATGGTGGTTCAACATTGACCGGTTCATGATCTCAATAAAATCTGATTTTTATGTATACGATAAAATGCTTCCTCTACTTCACACTGATATATATAACTTGTAACCAAACTATAGTCTTTGGGTACATACACTTGTATAACTTTCTCGATAATTATTAGCACTATTATCAAACTCTAATTTCTATCATTCTTTCCATAAGCCATAATGATAATGAACCAATACACAGTAATAGCTAAGAAAAAACCCATCGTGGTTGGCTGATTTTGAACAGAAAAAAACACAATTCATCCTTGTGGGTGATAAAATGTATTTTGATCGGTTTATGATTGAGTCGGGGTTTCTAGAATCAACTCTACCACCAGTATTGAAGAATAATAATCTGTAGATTTATCATACTTACTATTGATAAATCTCAAAAGTGTTTTAATAGTTTAAGCTCACTATGTCACCTGAACGTTTAGAGTTTAGTTTTACGGAAAGACAATGCGTATTCTAATTTAAAATCATCGACTAAAATGAAGCAGATATCCAATCATCTTTAATCTGTAATTACAAATTAGGTTCATATTACTTATGTACGAAATGAAATTCTCTGCTTAAAATCAATCTAATTTGTGTATGTGTTTATTAGACAAGTATTTTTGTCGATTGATAGATAGCGTTGAAAAGGTTTAATTGTTCTATCCTCTGATATTTATTCAACAGGAGTTGTGATCAATTATTGCTATGACGGAATCAAAAGAGCAAAATTAAGTCAATATAAAAATCGATCAGTATGGTATGTGTTCACATGGTAAATTAATGATTAATTAATGTTAAATACTACTCAGTTCAAATCATACAAATCTGATAGTAAATAAATCACATAAAAAGTAGTATATTCAGATATGAATCACTTAAAGATTCTTCAGTCATCTTTGTTACCACTTGACCACATTTAAATATTCTATTTCGGTCGATAATAGATAAACTCTTTAAATTATGTTTTTTAATTCTTCCTACATTATAACATGTTATACAATAGAATTAGGGTTTATTTGATGATTAAATAAAAATTCATCTTTGAAGTACCAAGTCATAAGCTCGAGTCTGCTTACCTATATATATCTGAGTAACCAAGCAACGACATAAGCATTAACTCAAGAAAATGTTAATTAAATTAGGAAACAGCACTCACTATCTAGTTATTGTGTAGCTAAATTAACATATATATTTTTTAAAATCTAATCCAATAATTTTTTTGTAATTAAACAATTTAGTTCTTATTTAGGTTCTGAAAAGATTTTATTACAATTCTATTTAACTAAACAAGTTATTGATTGAAATTTAGTATTGTTGACGGTGGCAATATTGACGTTAGTTTCATTTTATTATAAACTAATCAACTGTGTATGTATATAAATCTCAATATGAAGAAAGTTAACTCAAAGGTGAATATTTACATTTGTACTTGATAGAAAAATACCGATGTAATTTGTATAGCAAGTCGGATCGCTATGTATTTATATAAGGTACTACGTTGTTTACAATTAACTGATTGATTCATTATTTATAGGAGATATTGAGAGATTTACAAATAACTTTAAATATACTTATTCAAGTATTCAACGTTTATTAATGAAACGTTTTATAGAGTGTTAATATGAGAATGGACTTTCTGATAAAGTGATAATATAGATATTAAAAATAAAGGAATATTCAAATCACTTACACTTTTTCGAATATAATTAAATATGGAAACAAGATAATTTATTTTCCGTTGAACTGAATAGGTATTTGCTAAATGTGAATAAACATTGACCACATATTGTATAAGAGATTCTTTTGGCGGTGCGATAGGTGCCTAATTGATAAGTTTATATTTCGTTGATAAATTCGAAAAAGACACAACAACAAAAAAATACAAAGTTTCATAAAACAATGAATTTACAACTAAAAAAAACTTTAGTAGGATGACGATGAAATTAAAAATTTAAAACACAAGCTATTTCTATGGAATATTAACTCAGCAATTTGAAGGTAACTTGAAGATTTTGAGTTAGACCGTCGATATATTTGTAGGTTTAACGTATGAGAAGTCCTGAGCTCCAATACAAATATCCTCTAGTTTCCCGTGGCATTAAATGGTTGGTTCATTATTCACCAATGTCATGCTTGTCTAGAACTTATTCAGCGATTAAACTGTAAGATTAGATTAAAAAAAGCCCCAGACTGGCAATCAGGAGACACCATTTATTCAAAACAAAATACCGTCTCATATTTCACACAACATCATACATATATGTATTATGAAAGTAGGTAAACGGCAAATTCTATGGATACTTAAGTCATTGCAGCAACCTAGTTTGGATAACTCTCACAAAATAACAAATCAATGGATAACCCAACTGAAGTCAAGAACTTCAACACTTGTTGTTACAATATGATTCAACAGAACTTTAAAGAAAAATAGGAAAATTAGATTTAGATACAAGGAACAAACTCCAAAAAATGAATTTCGAATATGCAATGTTCTACATTAAAGAATATACAGAATCAAAGGTGTACTCTATTGCGAAGTCACAAATTAGGGCATGATATCTAATAATAGATTTATTTTAAATATATAAAATAAATACTTGTATTATGAGAATTATCCTCAACTCATTACAGTGAGCACAGATTATATTCTTGTGTAAATATTTACTTCTTTTAGTGATAGTTCAATTATAAAAATCATATGTTTTCATTTTTACACAACATTATTCAAGTTTATTTCCATCTAGATTTTTATATAATTTACTCAAAGTAGAAACTATTGATCTTATTTTAAATAATAATATAACCTTAACGACTAAGTTTATTTTTCATTTCAGAGAGAGTAACATCTTCAAAAATATCTACTTGAAGTAAAAAATATTCTCTACATTTTTCAAAAAGCGAAAAAAATAAGTCTCTTGATGATCTTCGCATAATTCTATTTAATTTAAAAGGAAAAAAAAAAGGAAAATTGTTGCCACCAGGTAACAACCATAACAATAAACTGATAAAATGTTACCTTATGAAGAAAAAAAAGGCAATAAAATGTTATCAGATAGTTTTTTTTAAAAAACTGAAAAACAACAAAAAACCAAACAAGAAACAAATTTTAAGGCTAGAAAAGTAAATCAAAGCTTTATCATTAAGAAAATTATTAAAATATAATGAAACAGAGTAGAGAAATTCCAATAAAACTGATAGATAGAATTGTATGGCACCATTTAAATATGAAGAGAGAAAAAGTTATAAAACTTTAACATTTTCATGATACATCAGAATGTAAAAAGGATTCAAAGATAACTTCTAACTTGATCTATGTATTATATAATGAAAGAGAAATTGTGCTGGTGATTAAATGGGTCATATATTTACCAAACAACTACTTTAAAATTGGTTTGAAGGTTTATAGAAATTTTCAAGCATCCAAATCTGGGTCATATGCTAGTTCTGCTTAGTCCTCTTCCTGGGTTGGGTAACTGAAGTGACTGAATAAGATACTCAGTGATATTCTTATAGTAATAGAAGAATCAGGAGTACTTATCTTACGTAGTAGATTACAATGTTCAATCCGTTTGAAACTACAATCACTTTATTTGTCTTCTTGATGTCTTTTCATATCCTTCTGGTGAGATCGATAGACAAGAACAAACATTAGTGTTGTAATTTGGAATCTCAAGTGTTTTGCACTGTCTTCGGGAAATCACAGAGACAATATGGGGAGTTGTGTTAAGTTTTCATCCTAACAAAGTTTATGGTGAATGTTTTTCTGGAAAGTTGCTTCACTACGTGTGACAAGATATGCAAAAAATAAATTTTGTAGACTGCAGTTCTCTTCATTTTTAACTTTGAATTTGTTAACATGGTTCCTCTGGCCGTATAGGGTCACTAGCGATACCTGCTGGATATTCTCCACTGTCAAACGGGGCTAGACAAGTAATTTGCCACCTGCACAGTTTTGGAACGACTCAAATCAGGTTTGAAGGGAGCAGAAACGTTTTCCAGTAGTCCCAATTGAAAAGTTTGTAGAAACAGTGAATTGAATGTTCTTGCATGAGAAACTAAGAAGCTTTTTAGTCTGGTGTAGACTGTCAGACCAGTCTAAACCTAGAAGGCTTATATCAGAGTCTGTGAAATAGCATGTTACTAAGAAAACTAAATCTTGAAAGGAAACGCTGGATCGAAATCGTTTTGTTAATTTTAGATTACTTCTACCATCTTTTGCCTAGTTTCTTCCACTATAGGTTCTCCAAGCAGTATTCAATGTCTATGTGATATAATGGTAATGTCGGATGTCGCACCTACCTGTAAGTGTACTGGTTGTCCATCTCTCCCGTTTTTTTTTACTTGATGAGTAGCAAGTATACTGAATCAAGAAGAATTTTAATGACTAATGAACGAATTTTCGGTTGGTGAAATAAGAGGATGAATTACGATAGATAGATAATATGCGATGAAACGACTTGACTGTGTGACGACTACTCACGAGACCATATTATTGACTTAAGCCATTGAATGGTTTGTAGTCGAAGAAAAAACCGCCATCCAGAAGAATAGGTTTTATATGTAGTAAACTGACGCGCCGATATACAAAATATTAGCACAAGATAAGCATGGTAAAGTGCCTTCATAGAGTGGAGGAAATCAGCTTGTAGATTACTCACTATCTCATCAATTAACACCTTAATAGTATTAACTCATCAGTATGGTGTAGCCGTAAGTTGATTGGATAGGATGTAACGTTAGCGGGTTATTCTATACAAATCACTAATGTGAGCAATAAAGAACGGTTAAAATACTTCAAGCAAGTTTTGTGACTTTTCAATATTTGTGTTAGCGGGACATAGACTGGATTAAAGCATGCTCAATGCATGATTGTTTCGGTGCGCGCCGATTGGCTAATTCTTGTCCAGTCAGCGTTAGCCAATACTTAGTGAACACTGTAGAAATCTTCTCATGTGAAAAACTATAAATATACTAGCGTTTTCCCTATTGCACTACTTACTTGCTTCTTACTTCCATCTAACCTTGTTATTTGGAATATAATCTCTTTCCTGTTCAACCGTGTTCTGATTTGGGGCTTGTCGAGTGAATCGGTGTCCGAGAATACTAAGCAATAGCAATAGCTGGGTCATAACCATAAGAGAGAAATATAACAATTTGATTTCATCTAGTTGACATTTTCCACAACATAAACATTAGATCCCCTTAGGATACGAGGTTTTTAGAAAATATTCAGTTGCAAGATAGTTTATATGATGAACTTGGAAGTTATTTCACCCTTGTATAGGACGTTTTGACAGTAACCAGATATAGCTTTACCAGGAAGCAAATTCAGGACCCTTAAGCCTTAGAGCAACTGGATTACCTCTAGGCCATTTAGGGAATCACATCTCCAACTTCAGTCACTTCTCTCTGAAGTAGATACTGCTAAGTGGTCTAATACTGGGACAAGATCATGTTCAATCCTCACTAATTTTCAATGGTTTTCCAGTTAAAGTTCATCTGTGATCGAAACTATCCTATGTAGATTTTCTTCAGTACTAAAATGTAGTATATACTACTCATTATCATCTAACAATCAAATTACTACAATACCTTATATAGAAAAGAAAAAAAAAGATATCTATCGAATGAACTTGCATGTTTACAAAAAACATTATGTTTATTAATTTTATGCCACCTCATAATTTAGTAATAATAATCAGTACATTGTAGTTATGTAAATAATAACTGACAAAAAAAAATTAATCGAATTGATACTTGTTAACAATCATAAAAATACCAACACAATGCTATAACAACTATCCTTATTTAATAGGCAAGGGGGGCATGGTATTATTGATGCTTTTTTGTTTCCTTATCTATATTGATGTATGAACATAAACATGTATATATTTGATGATTGTTTTTATTTTTTTTTATTTTTTCTAATCCAAATCTGAAAATTTATGAACTATTCTCTAGTATATAAAAAAAAGAAAAAAAAAAGAAAAACACTAGATTTATTAAAATGGGAAATTTATAATGTTTCCTTTTCTATAGGCCTCTTTACTTGTTACATGGATGCACTTTATATTGAATTTAAAAAAAAGAAACTTTGATGGAAGATTAATGAAAAATATTGAAATTTTTGTGAGAAAGAAAAAAAGAAGAAGAAATTGATTTATAGAAATAAACAGTGAAATTTACAAATAATTATACAATCTATTATACATTAATGAAGAATTATTTATACTTGTATTATTATTCTCAGGTGATTACATATAGTTTTTGATAATGATTTATACTGTATATACATGGGTATATGTTATGTATGAACATAATGGTTAGAGTCAAGAGTTTGTATATGTATAATTTTACAATAAATTATTTGTCATGATTCAAGGTTGTAACACCTCTGGAGATCATTAATGTAATCAAAGATTAATAATGATAATTACAAGGGTAATGATTGTGTTTATTTATTTATTTTAACACATAGACATTAGTACAAGGAGGCACCAAATACATATACGCCACACAGATTTCATTTGATATGTGTGAGAGCTGGGATAGTGCTCGAGTGCCCAAACCGAAGCAAGTAGTTTTCTTAGAGAACCACACCTGGAGCCTTCGACCTGAAGGTCTGATTCACAAGGCAGTGGAGCAACGTCAGGAGATGCAGTCCCATGGTAGCCAATAGTTGGTTCATATGCCATTTTTTTCATCAGGATATTGGAGCCCATGTACACCATTGGTTTGGAATCAGGGTTTTCCAACTCCCCTAGGTGGCCTCTCCATGTCCACCAACCGGGTCAAGGCGCCGTACATTCACTTTTCATCCTC